GCAACGCAGGAGCTCGAGAAGTTGTATGGCAAGCTGGGGCATCTCATTAATGGTGATCCACAGTGAGACATGCATGGTGGGGTCGCGTAGAAATGTTGAGGGTCAATGCATTGATGGGTTGAGTCATAGTGAAGACGAACACATCTTCAAGGGTCTATTTCACAGGGTGCCTGGTCTGAGCAATTTTACGACGTCCTGCGACATATCCTGTCGCTCTGGTATTTGGGCTCAGACATCCACTGCCTTCCGAAAGATGCTCGCTGCCTTCATTGCCGTCGTCCTCGGCGATACCGTTGCCAATGTTGTCCGTCACTGTGGCGTTTCTAAGAAGACTGTGACATCGTTTGCTGGATTGGACGGTGAGATTTTCAATCTCTCCAACTCTACTGATCGCCAACACCACTCCTACGGCTACGTTCAGTCAGATGAGACCGCTTCCGGCCGGCGCAAGTGCTATCGCGGTAGACGCCAACGCCAGTCTGGCTCCTTGTGGGTTCAGACTGTCGCTGGTATAGATCCTGATAATGGAAAGGATGGATGCCTGACTCATGAATGCCCATAAAGTGATCTCCGATCGCTAAAGCTCTCTGGAGCGGGTGCATCTATAATTAATAGACTACGATTTAAATATCAATGATGCATTTACCTTTGACATTGTCAGTTTCATTGTCACATCCGACATCTGTTACATTTTCAAGTTCCCGGTTTTCAAACGTATCATACCTATTTGCCTTCGGGTTTTCGGGTATCGGGTGTTGACTCCAGGACCTCCGGGTTTCTGGTGCTTACTCGTTGACCTTCCGGTTTCGGATTCTTCTGTTAGTTTATTCAAGGAGAATGAACCACAAGAGACCCACACGGGCACGGGTGGATCTGAATAAATTATGAAAAGATAGGTTCCACGAAAGCCAACGATTGTCTAGGATCGCCATATGAATGTAATGAACGCCGACATCGAGAGAAGTGGTCATCGTTTGAATCAGATGGCACCTAAATACAGATATAGTTTCCGAGGGTTAATCCGGTAATGGTCCGCATCCAGAAAGATATCGAAGAAAAAGGTTCCCGCTAGTTTGAGATCAGCATTCTACTGG